AGCACCAGAAAACTGGAAGTGGCACTGTGACTCAAATGGTAGAGCACTTGCCTTGAGCTGAAGGGCTGAGGGACAGCACCCAGGCCCAGAGTTCAAACCCCACCACTACCACCACCAACAACAAAAAAAGACAGCCATGTCAACCAGCTATTTCAGAAGATAGAGATCAAGAGAATCATGACTTAAGATAGGCCCCGGGCCAAAAAACAAAAAACAAAAAACCCAAGACACTATCTGAAAAACAGCTAAACCAAAGCAAACATTAAAACACATCACAACAAGTCAGTTAAAAAACACCTGTAGGACAAGTGCAAAATCCTTAAAAAGTTCAACCAAATTCTGAAGGTACAGGAATCTGTTCTGATACAGAATGCTTTCCCTTCATCTCTGCCTGACACAAAGCCTCACGTATCGTCTAAGTACTGACTCAAACACTACTGTCCCAGTTTGTCTTCCTCAAATTCTAGGAGCTCTCTAACTTCCTTGATTGCTGGAATCAACCTGGAGCACTCATTTAAACATTCACCATCCCTGCCAAAATTTTGGTATGAAGAATATGACTCTGTAGCCTTGGGATTTCTGTTTCTGACCTCCCAGATATTACTGGCTCCTGCTGCTGCTGGAGCATAGTGTACCTGCAGCACCCTTGTATTTAGGGCTGCTTTCTACAAGACTGAGCACCCAACTGGAAATCCCCTACAGGACTTAGAAGTGGGCAATAAAAGTCTTACTCTTTTTTGCTTATTTTTATCTTCTTCTTCCTGTAAGTTTTGTTGGGCTCTTTGTACACGTTTCATGTTCAAGTCCTGCTCTTCTCTGTACTCCTGCTGAATATGTTCTATCTTCTCTTGTAAGGCCTTTTGCAAAGTGGTCCTCAGTTCCTGCTTTGCCTTCAGTTTCTTCATCTTCTCTTGTTCATCCTCAAATTTAATCTGTGCATTGTCATATTCCTAAGGTAGAACAATAATGAAGATGATGCATTAGTACAGTTAGACAAATTAAGTTAGTGCATTTGCTACACAAGATGAGACTATGGGATTTCTTGGAAATATGCAAGTGTACATGCATTCACATGGACACACACATTCATACTTGAATTCAAAGGCATTATAAGAAACAAAACTTGGCTTTTCACAGCTGGGTTAGTAATAAAGCTGTGTGTAAATTCTTGTGTATGAGGGAAATCATAAAGTACTAGTGGAGTTCAAATATGCAGAAGAGTATAAAAAGAAATCTCCTTTAATCACAGTACCCAGTACCCAGCTATTTAGCATTTTGGTACACTAGCCTTCTAGCCTTAATACTTTTGTACACATCTGCACAAAATAATGGGTACATTATATTTGGGCGTGGGTGTGCTGGTACAGGGGCTTTAACTCAGGGCCTGGGTGCTGTCCCTTAGCTGTTCATTGAAGGCTAGTGCTCAAGCAGTTGAGTCACAGCTCCACTTCTGGTTGTTAAGAGTCTCATAGACTTTCCTGCCCAGGCTGGCTTCAAACTGTGATCCTCAGATCTCAGCCTCATGAGTACTTAGGGTTACAGATGTAAGCCACGGTGCCAGACATGGGTATTAAGCAGCACTGAGAGTCCAAAACTGGTAATGCGCCTTGGGAAGCCACTCAGGCCCTCGGGCAGACTGTACAGTCACACAGTACTTGGGAGCTATGGAACCCTCCACCCTTTAGCAAGAGTCATCACCAGCAGGTGCATCTCCTCTTTCTTCAGCCGCAGAGCCTCCTGCCTTTGTGCCAGGTTGCTAGTAATCTGCGTGGTCAGCCCCAGGCGTGTGTTCTCCACCAGCTCCCTCTGTCTCCTCTCCTCTTGGGCTTCTCGCTTTTCCTTTGCTAAGCGGTCCTCCTCCCAGAGCTTGGCAAACATCTTTTCTTCCTCCAGCTTTTGTCTCTTCAGCTCCTCGTTGAAGGCTACCTGTGCTTTCCTCTCCTCCGACACTACCTTTTCATGGATGGTAAACAACTGCGTGCGGAGCTCCTCACAGTGTTCCCTGAAAGCAGAATTTGTGTCTAAAGCTTTTCATGAGGCCCCACTCTATTTATGTACATCTCTATGCAGTCAGGGATGAGGAAAGCCAAAGATCTGACTATAGGCCATCTGCAGAGAGGAGCAGGAGGGAGCAGGGAGGCAAGTTCCAGGAAGACATTGCTAAGATGCACACACAGGAGTCAGTCAGAGTAGGCTTTGAATCCTAGCTCTGCCATTTCCTGCATGGCCTTGGATCAAAATTTCCTCAGCTCTTTCCTCAGCTGCAAAATAGCTGCCTTTGAGATTTTGGTAAGGCAAGCAATAATGGATGTAAAAGCTTGCTAGATAATTGGGGCTCGTTACATTGTGGTGCAGCAAACAGGAGGGATAGGCACCTCTAATGCGGCAATGCAGTCAGGACTGCTCAGAAGATGCTGCATGCACCGCCAAGAAAAAGCTCTGGGGCCAGTGCGGGCATACCATCCAGAGGCTTCTCCTGCACCTGCCTTCCCCACAGAGGGGGTCCTGCCCCCTGGCCCCTGCTCTTTCACATCAGGGCTGAACATCAAGTTAGCCTCTCCTTCAGTCATAGTCATTCAAATACCTTCACAAAAAGTTCTTCACTGAGCTTGCTATGGTTTGAATCTGCTTTACAGAGGGTTTAAGCTTGGTCCTTAAGTGTGCTAAGTTGTAGGGGAAGTGGTGGAATCTTTACGGTCTCACCACAGGTGGGATTGGATGGGAATAATTAGGCCATAGGGTCACCAGCCCCATGAATGGAATATTGTTGTCTTCAGTCATAAAAGAGTGAGCCCAGCCCCTCCCCTGTCTCTTGTTCTTTTGTACACATGCTCCTTTCACATTCCTTTTGTCCCTTCCCACCTCTCCATGGTGTTGTGACACAGCCAGAGGGTCCTTATCAGGATGTTGGCTTCAGACCATTTGGACCTTCCAGCCACCACAATAGTGAGCCAAATAAGGATTTTTGTAAGTTACCAAGCCTTGGGTATTTTGTTAAAGCAACACAAACCTGCTTATGTGGTGCTGAGGAATCGAACCCAGGGCCTCATACATGCAAGGCAAGCACTCTACCACTGAGCTACCTAGGGATATTTTTTAAAATTCCAATATTCTACTCTTCCCTGTCTCTCTTCTAAGCCAGATGAGTAAAATCAGACATCTGGGGTTGGATAACCAGGTATCAGTATTTTTTTAACAGTCCAAGAAGTTCTAGTATACATCCAAGTTTGAAAACCTTTGATTGAAAGCAATGCTCTGAACAATGGATCCTCCTGGTTCTAAGTCCAATGCAGCACCAGGAAGCTGAAGCTGTGAAACAAGCTCAAAACTTTGAAGATATTTGACTTGCTAAGACTGAAAGGATGAGACCTAAGATCATGACAGTGGTTGGTAATACTACACACATCAGGTATTTCGACTAGTCTCATTTCTCCAATCTCTTTAAGGGCTGGGCTCACAAATGTCTATCTGCCTGCCTCTCTCCCCCCTCTTCTCTCTTCCCCCCACCTCTCTCATTGGCCTGGATCTCACAACCCCCTGGCCTTAGTCTCCTGACTGCTGAGATGATAAGTGTGCCACCTATCTTTTTAGTATGTTCCATACTATGCACTGTCACAACAAATATTGCTGGTTTAGCTGATATGTAATCATGCTCAGTAGCAACATAAATGATAACCAACAGTTATCCATACTCTATGGAAGTCTCAACAAGGTAGCAGAAGCTGAAAGTGCTAGGGTACCAAAATACACAAATAAATGAAAGGGGGAAGGAACACATAATTACTAAAAACCAAATTCACATCTCAAATTCATCAGTAAATTTACACTAGAATTGGCCAAGGCATCTTATTAAAGTCCTTCCCAATCCTATCATTCATACTTTAAAAAGTAATTAATAAAAAAATTAATAAAAGCCCAAAAACAGAAAGAGTACAAATTATGACATTTCTAACTACAAAATTAATTATATTTATTGAAGAAAAGCAAGAAAATACAGAAAGTTTCCTTAATAACACTATCAAGCAATAACTATTACTTGTTAGTCTATTTTCTTACAGTTTTATGTGTGTGCATGATACTAGCACTAGGGTCACCAGTCTTTGTTTTATATCTCTCTCTATATATTAATTAATACACATATATCCTCATATATACATATATATACAAATATGCATATAAGGATACATATACGTACAAGGTATCTATCCTGTATCATATATGTATGTATATACACAAACACAAGATCTCTTGTATCTTGAATATATACATATATGTACATTAAACATATTGTGAACAATTCCTTAGAAATATTCTTAAAAATAATTCCTTAGCTAGGTGTGGTGGCTCATGCCTGTAATCCTAGCTACACAGGATGTTGAGATCTGAGGATCAGATTCAAAGCTAGCCCAGGCAGGAAAGGCTGAGACTCTTAGCTCAATGGAAGAATGCTTGCCTTGAAAGTGCAAGGGCTTCAGTTCGATCTCACACTGCAACACAAACAAAAAAATAAATGACTACAATTGATACCTGTCTTTTAAAAATAAAAATAGGTTACAAAGTACCATGCAGTCACTTAAGAAAAAAAACAAAAAACTGTGGTATGGAGCTGGGCACCAGTGGCTCACACCTGTAATCCTATCTACTCAGGAGGCTGAGTTTTGAGGATCATGGCTCTAAGCCATCCCAGGCAAGAAAGTCTGTGAAACTTTTATCTTCAATAAACTACTCAGAAAATGCTAGAAATGGGGCTGTGGCTCAAGTGGTAGAGTCCTAGCCTTGAGCAAAAGAAGCTCAGGGACAGCGCTCAGGCCAAGTTCAAGCCCAAGGACTGGCAAAACAAACAAACAATTGTGGTATATTTATAGGCTATAGCCTTTATTACAGAGCTTATTAAAGCATAATATTAAACCATAATAAAAAAACCATATTATTAAACCATAATAAAGTTTTGAACTAAGGAATTATTATTATTATTGTCAGTTGTGGAGCCTGGGCACTGTCCCTCAGCTCTTTAGCTCAAGGCTAGTGCTCTACCACTTGAGCCACAGTGCCACTTCCAGCTTTTTTCTTTTTGCTTATGTGGTGCTGAGGAATTGAACCCAGGGCCTCAGGCATGCAAGGCAAGCGCTCTACCCCTGAGCCAACTTCCCAGCCCTCTGATGATTTTCTTAAAATAATTCTCTTCCTTATACAAAATCAATGAGTACAAATACTGTTGAGGCATTGATGATGGCGGCTGCTAAACCACACCAAATTGATAGTGTGTGGAGAGATCCCCGTACCACACATGTCTGAGGAGATCAGTAGGCCTTCACACTTCTGCAATTATTTATTCTGTCCAGTAAGAAAATTCTAAGAGCCAGCAAACAAATACAATTATTAATTGTATGCTATCATGGCTACTATATCTTATAAGTTATTAGATATATAAAAATTAAATAGAGAAAAGATTAAAACAGTAAACATCAAGTGTTGGGTCCCTATACACTAATGATTCATCTGTTCACTGGACTTCAGGCAACCCTGATTTAGAAATGCTTACTTTTATTGATCGATAGGTAGATAGACAGAAGATAATAAGCATTGTTAAAGAGAAAGTGTAAAGGTTTGAGTCCTTCACAGTTTACAGATCACTTTTACACATGATAACTTATTTGGTGCTCACAAGTGTCCTACAATTTAATGTCCCTACTTTAGAATTCAAGCAACAAAGCCTCAAGAACCCTAAGTATCTCCCCATGTCACATAGCCAGCAATACCATTCACAACTATTCTTGAGTGTTCATTACCTCGTGGGCATTCTACTCACTTTGCCATGTGCAAATGGTTGCAGTCTTCATAGCAATGAATGTCTCAATGAACACTAGTATGAGTTCGCTATCTTATCTTTCGAAGACAAGCTAGAATATTGCAGCAAAATTTTCAGATAAACTCAGTATTTTTACTTGCTCTCATCTATAATATAATTACCAAGACTTAAAAAGTATAATAGCTATTTCCATAACCCTAAGGCTATAATTTACTGCAAACTAGCACTCCTAAGTCTTTTTCAAACATACCAATTTCATATTCTCTTTATGTGTTTTTTCCAATTCCATTACCTGAATTGCTGATCTAATTTTTGAGCCACAAAATCCTGTCTCTCTCTTTCTTTTTTCTGTTTTAATAATTTGGTTTTCTCTCTCATTCTATCCTTTTTCTCTTCAATGGTTTCTCCTTTTGATTGCATTTCCATGAAATACTCATACTCTTCTGCTGCCAAAAGCTCACGTAGCCTGAAACAAAAAGACAAAGAAAATTAATGTGCCCCATTTTACTACATGATTTTTGTTAAACTTAATTTCTTAATTAATGTCAAATCATAAATTCCACAAGGAAAAGATCATTGCAGTTCTCCATAAGACAGCAGTATGTGTAGACAGCAATCTGTGTCTTACTGTATTTGACCATACACAAATAAAATATTAAGCTTATCTTCAATAAAAGTAGTAAAATAGGAACTGGAGGTATGGTGCAGCTAGTGAAAGCATGAGGCCCTCAGTTCAAGCACCAGTACTGGCACAAGAAAGCAAAGGAAAACAAAAAATATCATATTGTAATATTTTACGGTTAACCTATATTTTGATAGAAAACAAAAGGATATAGTGTTTTATAATTTATTTAATTAAAATCTATTTGCCAGACACCTATAATCTTAGCTATTCAGGAGGCTAAAATCTGAGAATTTCAATTCAAAGCCAGCTGGGGCAAACAAATCTAAGAGAGTCTTATCTTCAATTAGCTAGCAAAACACCTGAAATATAAAACAATATCTCCTTTTGTTTTCCATCAAATATATGTTAAGCCAAGTAAAAATATCAATAATCAATAACTATTGAGTATGAGTAAGTCAGCCATGATCTTTACTACACTTGCAGGTTTTCACTGACCAATACCAAACCGTAGTTTTAGGGGCTGGGAATGTACTCAGAAGTAGAGAGCTTGCCTAGCATATATGTTGCCCTGAATTTGATCCCCAGCACTGGAGAAAATTGTAGTTTCAGTAGTATCTCATAGTCTGGGCTTTTTGAGCCTTACTTATTTCGTCTTTCTTCAGTATGGAAGAGAAACCCTTGCATGGCATCTTTGACTCTTGCTTGCACAAGGCTGGCAAAAGACTTGCGGTCACTGTGTTGGCTCCACTCAACCTTCAGGCGATCCCTTTCACGTGACTTAATGTTAGCCAAAGTAGCATGATACTTCTGGTGCTTGCGTTGGATTTTTTCCCCTTGCCGCTCAGTCCCTTGGGGTTTGGGAGGCTTGGCTCTCTGAAAACAAAAAAAAAATGATATTTATAACTAAGCTAAAAATCAAAAGCATGTCTTCAGTGAATCCTGACCTTGACTGATACTGAAGAATAAATTGGGTACAATCCATGATAACTGAAAAGTGTAAGCACTTGAGGAGTAACTTTTTCTACTTTCTGAGTTTATGCTTAAGAATTACAAAATCAGTCTCAAATATAGATGCTTCTTGCTCTATAATGGGACTACACTCTGATAAACCTATCATAAGTTGAAAGTATTGTTAATAAAAAATCGCATTTAACGTATCTGACCTACCAAACATCACAGCACACTGTTGAATGTCTATTGTTCATTCCCATGATCCTATGCCTGCCTAGGATCTATGCTATGGCCTAGTTTATGTAAACAAGGAAAGCATCTCTGGTCAAAGTACAGTTTCTATTGAATTCCTATCATTTTTGTATCATTATAAAATAAAAATCACATATTGAATCATTAGTTGGAGACTGTATTTCTAAAGTATCCCTTGGGCAAAAGTGGTAGTAAAAATAAAAAGAGAGCTCTAGAAATTATTTAATCAGAGCTGGTGTGAAGTTTGTGAGATCTCATCTTAGCCAATAAAAGGCTGGACAAAGTGGCATGTCCCTCCATCGCTGATATCTCAGCTACTCAGAACATAAAGAGGAAGGACATGGCCTGCCAGGGCATAAATGCAGGATACAATGCAGAAAAAAACAACCAAAGCAAAAAAGGTTAAGGATGTGGCTCAAGTGGTAGAATATCTGCCTAGCAAGCACCAAGCCCTGAGTTCAAACTCCACTCCCACCGAAGTAATAATAATAATCAAGGCTTGAGGTACATATACTTCCCTGAAGTAGATGGTGACACAAAGGTGATGTTAGGGGATTATCTATAATCCATTATCAAAATTATTTGGATCCTACAGGCAGTTAATCAGAGTGCTGTTCTCTTATTATTTCTGGACCATTAGAAATGCAGATGCAACAGAGAAGCAGAGCAGGACCACTGATGCATGATAGGTAAGAGACACAGCAGGAACTAGGACTCCTGGTAGAACACTGGCTGAGAATAGGACCATATTCCAAGGTCATGCAGAAGCAATTACCTCAAGAGAGGAATGGAAGTTAGGGGTTCTGAAAAACCGGGTAACAGCTACTGGACCAAGAGGCCCTGTTATGCTATGTGCATCTTGTGTAGGAAATTGTATGGGAAGGGACTGATCTGTATGAATAAAGTATGACCTGGAATTCTTTGAAAAGGCGATCCCAATCTAAGTACAGTCTTGATATAGTACAAAATCTATATTGTTCAACAAGACTTATACCATAAAAGATATGAAAGTTTATATTTTCTAGTAACAGAAATGAAACAGGAAATTAATTTTGCTAATATATTTTATTCAACCAATACAATCAAAATATTATCATTTCAAAATGTGACAGGCACATTTCAAGTGGTCAAAGTCAGGTTTGGCTAGTGACTACTATATTGGACACTGAAGTTCTGAAACATGCTAAAGACAAAACAACACAGGATTAAGGATCTTGTTACTGAAGAATTTTATTACTATAATATCTCATATTAAGTTTCCAGAAAATAGTTTACAGTTTGTCTTTAAAAAAAAATCTGTAGCAAGATATTGATGGATCACACCTGTAATCCCTAGCTGCTTGGGAGACAGAGAGAACTACAGTTCCAGGCCAGCCCAGACTCCTCTCTCCTCCCCCCCCCCCCCCCCTACCCCCCACGCCTGCCAGAAAAAATTCAAGATTCTATCTCAAAAAACACTAGGCCTGGTAGTTCATATCTGATATCCCATCTATAGTCGAAAGCATAAAATAGGTGGATCACAGTCTGAGCTGGCCCATGCAATATCTCAAAAGCTACCAGTGCAAAAAGGGGCTGGAGGTATGGCTCAATGATAGAACATCTGCCTAGCAAGCACAAAGTCACAGAGTTCAATCCTCATTATTAACCAACAAATCCAATGCCTTCATTCTGGATTTGAATCTGGCTTCCACCTATTACTGTGCTTAGTGAATCTTTTTCTTATCTGTCAAATGAGAAAAATATGTATCCTTACCAGCAGGCATGCAAGTAAGTTTTTATTGATTTCTCCTAGGGAATTCCTTGTCCAAATCTCATCAATTTGTGCTTTTGATTCTTTCCCTAACGCAACTCTCTAACATTTCTTATCACACTAGGACATCTGAGGAGCAGATGCACCAAGTCTGACCTCTTCCTTTTCCTTTTAATTCATCAACCTATAAGTATCAAGATTTTAATAGACATGCTTCTTTGTTTTGGTCATATTTTTTCCTGTTAGTTGTGCATTCCCAGCCCAAGTAATAATGCCCCCAAAATGGACAACCCCTGGGTGGCACATGTGGATACAGGACTCCAGAGTCAATCACTTTTTGTCCCTCAGTCTGAAAACTACAGCCATAGAAGCTTCCTGTCTATTGTTTTCCAGCTCCCAGCCCTATAGTTTGGACTGAGAAAAGGAGTAGGTCTGTAAATTGACCAAAATTTGCCACAACTATAATCTTTGATTATCCTTCTAGAATCATCCATCACAGACAATATAGACAATACTCACTTCTAATGGTTTATATATGAGTTGTTGCTGCAACCAGAGTATAAGTTCTTTGAAGGAAGTATCCAGCTTCTAATGCGGAGGAAGCCTACAGGGTCATAGAACTTACTCCAGTATCTTACAGTGCTTATGCATGCAGGAGCCCAAGCAATTAATCTGAGCCAGGAGCTGGCTTTGAATCTCCAGCCTCAGATCTCAGCCTCCGAAGTAGCTAGGATTATAGGTGTGGACCTAAGTCCTGACAAATTGGAAGAGGGGCAGTAATGCAACAAGAATAACGCCTGGAGCCGAGCACTGGTGGCTCACACCAGTAATTCTAACTACACAGGAGGCTGAGCTCTGAGGATCATGGTTTGAAGTCAATCTGGGCAGCAAAGTCCATGAGCCATTTATCTCCACTTAATCACCAGAAAACACGAAGTGGTGCTGTGGCTCAAAGTGGTAGAATGCCAGCCTTGTGGGAAAAAAGCTCACGAACCTGAGTTCAAGCCTGACAACCAACAACAAAATAATTAAAACCCAGGAGGTCTCTGTTCAGTGTGCTTGCTCCTGTTTCCAGTCACTAGCACAGCCGTCTGCCTCGCTGAAGTCCTATCCAGTTGGTGTCCTCCTTTCTACAGCCCCTCCCCTCCAGATGTTTCTGCTTATTACTCATGAGTTGGCACAGAGAAGTTCTATAACCATGCACAACCCTCACAGTCAAATTCCCCTTCCACAGATGACTTTCCTAGGGGCACAGAACCAGCCCAAGGTGTACTACTGAACCGTGGCCCGCCCAGACTCCAGGCTCAATGTCTTTTTCACGACCCTCATCTCCTCGCCCCCTCCTTAGTGCAAAGGACATATTTCCATCCGGGACCTAGGAGAGAGAAAAGCCCCCGCTCCCGCCCCCGTGTTGGTGAATCTTCATATTAGAGATTGTGAGTAAAAGAGCTAATGGTAGGGCTTGAGCGAGTAAGGGGAACTAGTGAACGACCTCGTTTTTCCTTCTTCCAAAATTCCACTCATCAGATCGGCAGGTTCCCCAGGGAAAGGCAGTGCTGGGAGAGAAGTTGGATTCAGGGAGACCCGGAGAGCCGAACCTACAGGATCCGGCACACACGCCCTCCGCTTACCACCGCCACCACCTTGGGAGTAGATCCCTTAATCTCCCTCTGCAGGACTCCAAACCGCTGGCTGTACATTTTCCGGCCTCCAGACCTGCCGGCCTGTTTTGCAGAGGCAGGTCTGGTTGCCAAGGGAGTGCCTGTTGTTTGGCTTGAAGGTGGTGGCGGGCCGGAAGTTGTTCCTGTTGCCATGGGACTCACAGCCACCGGCACTCGCGACTTCCTGTTGCTGCAGTGAAGCCGAATCTCCGTCTACATCCTGCCGGTCCACCCAGCTCCTGGCCAGAGCTCAGGAAGCCAAGCTCCCGTCCCCTCCGGTTCGGCGAATGGCGGGTGGGGATTAAAATTAAAAACCTCTTTAGCTCCAAGAGACTCAAAGGTCTAAGTATAATTTCAGACGGCTTTGCTATTTATAGCCTGTAATGGGTCTGGAAGCAAAAGTTTCATGCAAAGGTTAAATTTTGTCCCACACACATTCTTCTTCATATCCATACCGTAATAATCACAAGACAATCTTAGACTGGTGTAGTGCTTTACAATTTGCAGGTATTTTCAGATACAGCCTTTGAGCCTAACAATCAGGGATGACGGAACTCTGGGTAGTATCCTTATTTTACAGAGTAGTTAAGGCTCAGGGAGCTTAAGTGCTTTATCAAACCACCCAATCAGTATAATAAAGTCAGTAAAAAAAAAATTCCTAGCACTGGGCAGAAACCAGGGCTCAGACTTAGGTTTACCATAGGAAAGGGGCAGATCAAATGGGACCAGTGGTGTGACCTGGATGGGCACAGTCAAGACTGGGCATCTTGAGCAGACTAAGGACAGTCAGTCTTCAGATCCAAAGTCCATGTAATCCATTCCCAAGAATCAGGATCCCAGGCAGAACTAGGAAAACGATCAGAGAACCAGAAGGGGCCTTCAGAGAACCACATGGGCACTACAGAGTTGCATTTTCCATCAAGCGCAGGGTGGTATAGTTGATACCTAAAAGCCAATTAAGAATGCCACTTTACAGGCTGGGGCATGGCTCAAGCAGAAGAGCACCTGCCTAGCAAGCACAAGACCCTGAGTTCAAATCCCAGTACTGCCAAAAAAAAAAAGTTATCCCCATTCTAAAGTGGGGGTGAGCATAGAACAGTAGAACACAGGAAAAAAAACAGTAATTATATCAGCATGACATATACTAAACAACCAAAGTACAACTAATTTGTCCTCTTAAAGCCGAGGATCACTATAAATTGGAATTCCTCAACCATTTGTAATCCACCCACTTCAGATGTTCTGTGGTTTGTTTCTAGATCGGGATTCCATTTTCCTGAATTGCTGGTTCAACTTTTCAGTCACAAAATAATGTCTTCTCTCTTAATAATCTCTTTAATAATTCTTTTTTTTCCTCCTACAATGCTTCTTCTTTCAACTGTAGTTCAGTAAAATACTCATTTTCATTTACTGCTAAGAGTTTATGTAGCCTGAAACAAACAAACAAACAACAAAAAAGAAGGAAATTAGGAGATTGTTTGGGTTCCCTAGTGTCCTGAGGAATGACTCTTGGATCTTTGCACCTCCTGGTGTCTGTCTATACGGAAAGACCCACAGCGCCCCGCCCCCCCCATGCACTTTGAAAACAGGAACACCTTGTGATAGGCCACTTAATATTCAGGGGTGCTTGCCCAGTGTCTCAGAGTTGTACATCCCAAAGGGTTCTGCTGGGGTTTGCAAAAGCATGGGGAGACCAACTAGGACTGTGCAGCTGCTCTGGGAGATTTCATCATGCTAGGAGCTCACTCAAAGCGAGCTTCATAGTAACCAGTTCAGTTCTGCCTGTTTCACCACTCTAAAGAGGGGAACTGGCTTCCTCTGGGTCCCACCCAGTGAAAGGTAGTGATTCTTGGTTGCTTAGTATCACCAAGGTCAGAGCCTGTATAATAGCCCCCATCGGCCTGGAGGGTTCCTGAGGAGGTTGAAGGACTGGAACCATGTCCAGCACAGGAGATTCAACACCAGTGGTATGTCTCATTCATCACACTCGGACGTCTAGAGAAGTGACAAAACTGAACTTTATCCTGACTCCCAGCATCCCAGCTTCTTCAAGGTAGCCAACACAGATACCATCACCAAAACCTTCCCCCAAAGAAACACTAAGCATATAATTCAGTAAATGGAACAATAAAAATTATTTTTAAATGTAACAGCTTAGGTAGAAATTATTTAAATTATTTCCAACATTTACTGTGCCCCAACAAGATTCTCACAAGAGCTGCCTTTCCCAAAGTTGCCTGGATTGCATATTTCAGCATTAAAGTTCATGATAAATTTGGAGATCCATTTGCTGCTTGTAATACGGGAGTGCATCTACTAAGACTGAATGGACCCTATTTTCCCTCCCTATATCCTAGGATTAAGTACAATGCCTACTATGGGCCAGGTTAATACTTGAATGAATGACACAAAAATAACCAAGATCAGAAAGTTTCTTCTGTGTGGGCTTGACAGGATTTCCTTCCTTGCTGGAGTCACCATGAAATCCATGGTCTTCAGCTTTGTATTTTCAACAATACAGCTTTACCAAGTTATCCTCGGGTGAGTAGCGAGACCCTCAGGAGCGGATTCATGGGAGGAGGGCTTTATAACATGCGGGGGCCATGTCCTGGAACTCCCTTCCCCATATGCTTCTGGGTACACATTTTCTCTGATAACTGGAGGACAGAAGTGAAGCAGCAGCATACTGAGATTTTTACACTTGCAAGGCTGATGTGGAGACAAGGCGCTGCCGCAGCTCAGCAGTTCACGAGTGATGTCAGTTTTCTGCTGGCTCACCTCATTGGTGTGGGGCAGCAGTCAGGCCTACAGCTAGGCTTGCCACTGCTCCACCTCCCCTGGGAGCATCGAAGCTGGAGGTGGTGAGAAACTGACTTGGGTTCCAGGCCATACTTGTGGGTCCCAGCTTCTGCTCGCGGGCTCCAATATGTCCTGGGTTTCCCACAGTTTACATTCATCTTCCCTTCCCGACTGCCTGCTGCAGACTTCAAGCTCCAGCATGAGATGCAGAATTAACCACCTTACCAGAGACTGTGTAACCAGTACCCACAATTGTGTAAGGTTGAATCCCTCTAAATAATCACATACATCATCGTTGTCTTAGAGGTTTCTGCTGTTTTGACAGTACCCTAATTAACACACACAGTAATCACTCTTCCCTCAGTTGGGATGTCAAGCAAACACATTTCCCTTAGAATATCACTATCAGAATACTAGAGCTAATGATTGGATCCTAGTAGGAATAGAGCATCATCAGAATATCCAGTCTTGGCCAGGACAGAACTAGGTAAGGAAGGGCAAAGGAAGAAAAGTGTGGCAGACAGCTGTATCTTGAGAATTAGAAATGGGAGATGATATTAGCACCTGGAAGGTAGAGGCAGGAGTATTACTGTTATGAGTTTGAGACTAGCCAGGGCTACAAAGTGAGTTCAAAGCAATTCTGAGCTATAAATCAAGACCTTGTCTTAAAAAATAAAAGGAATAATCTTTATCTGAATTACCTAAAGTTGCAGGGCCAGGAATAAGGTAAGGAACACCATATGATATAAAATTTAAGGGGCACTCACCCAGTTCTGGCACTGTAAAGGTGGTTAACTTACAAGCTACATGTCTTTCTGGCAATTAATGAAGTATGGAGAGTGAGGTAGGGCTAAGCCAAGACTGGCCCTTAGGGCAGGACTTGTAGCAGGAAATGAGCCTCCTAGTAGATATTTGAGCTGGGGGCAAGAACCATGCACAAGGATCATTAGAGGATAGAAGATGTTCATTGTCAGGGAAGATACAGCCAGTCAGGCAATTTTAGTTCCAAACACTGCTCTGGCTGAGGTCGGGGAGGTCAGGGAGCAGCTGGTGGGTAAGAATACTCTTTAGGCTTTGAAAAATCCTATGCAGCATCTGCTGTCTGTGGGGAATCCAGTTTGAGGATGAATAGGTGCTCTGCTCTGACAAGATGAACCCACCTACATATAGCCTTAGCAGTCCCTAAACCATGCTAGAGGCAAGAGTATAAAAGGTTTATTACAGTGCTTATTGAAATCCACTGTGTATTTTCAAAGCTACTAAAAATACTGTTACTGAAATATTGTAACATTATTGCACACAGGATTGCAGTTAACAGTTCAACAGCATAAAGAACAAAACCTTATACTCTGGGCATAATGCTAAACTCTACCAATTCTAATTGACACTGGGAAAGTTAGTATCTTTTGAGTTTCAGTTTCCTCACCTGCAAAAGTGCACAATGTCTTCCTTAAAAGACTGTTTTCAGGATTAAAGTAGTTGGTCCACAGGAGCTCATCAAACAGTGGTCCCTTTCCTTTCCTCCTTTATTGACATTGCATTTTCAACTCCTGTCTCCCTGAGATAATGTTGAGACACTGCCAGGTCCCATCCAGAAGCCACTTCAAATCATCGATGAAGGTGGCTTGTAGGTTCTTTGTAGTGACTTTAAATTACATTGCCTTCCTCACCCCCAATTCTCCTCCCATGAATACAGCTTCTCATTGTGTTCAGAAGCCCAGAAGGACAGATGACCAACTTTTACTGACTTCCTTAAATTCTAAGTACTAAGTAGGCCTGCTCCTTGGTTTGCTAGCTTTTCCTCCTAGGCTTAATCCATGCACCAGCCCTTCACCCAGTCTGCTACCCAGCCTCTAGTACATCAGGGTGTCTCTCAAAGCCGCTCTGCAAGTATCACCTTGAATCCTACAGTCTGCAGAAGTCTCCAGTTTATTGCTTTCTAGCTCCAGGATTTTTAAGTTTCTTGGACCTAGAGAAGAAGGAGCAGGTCTGTATGTTGAATGACGTTTACTATTTGCAAAATGGAGCATCACAAACCCATTTCCTACTATTATGTGTCTCTGGCCCCTTTCCCTTAATTGCCTCTACTTCTTTTCTTTCCTCCACAAACTACCAATGCAGACAGTACAGCACCTTCCCTGGAAAGCAAGATTCCACACACAGGGAAATGGTAAGCTTCCTGCAGGTAGGGTTTCTGTCCCTTGAAGGGCAAGGCTTACATCTCCACTGCTGTGTATCCAGCAGGAGCTGGGTCTATACCAGTCAGTATCTCTTTCATTTCCCAGTTTTAGTTGGAGGGGTTTCCAGCCTGTTAAAACTGGTTAATAGGAGAAAGGGAAGCCATGTGCATAGGCCCAGTTTCTGTTTGAAAGCCCACTTGGTACTTCATGCATGGACCTCTTGCAGGAGGGAGCATTCACCTGCCCTCCTCCCAGCCCAGTTTTTAGAGGCATCTTGCCCTTCCTCCTATTGCCAGAACTACAGGGAAAGTTCTGCATAGGATCTGACACAGGTAGTAACCTCAATAGTAAAGGCTGAGAGACAGCTCAAATCCTTCCAAACACGATGCTATAGGAGGTGAAATGAGCCAGAGGTCATATAGCAACTGTATGTATACCCAACTCACAGAGCCAGCTAAGGATCTACACTCCCTGCCCTCCCCACACTGGGGCCAGTCCTGCGCAATGTCTGTGATAGGTATTCTTCCCACCATCAGAAGCAGACAGGCTACCCAATGGGAGATTACCTCTTGGGAAATTACAAAGGCCTTTAAGACCTCAAACAATGATCCACAGAGTAAGAGTTTGTACATTATGTTTAGCTTTGCAGGATTTTCTTAGGAAAATGGGAACCAGATTCTATTCATCTCTGTTTTGTTTTGTTTTTAAAATCTCATCACAGAGCGTCAAGTTTTCTCTCCTTTTCCCAAAAGGAGAGTCTGGAACACCATTTGGCCTGGGTTTCAAGAAAATCTCTAGGGTGCTACACATACACCCTCACTGGTTATGAGCAGCACAGTAGATATAGGCCTTTATCTGTCTCTGTATCCAGCCAAACTCCTAGCTGTACTTTCAAAATTCAGGGCCCACATCTGACCAGCACCCACCCCATGCCTACCCCTCACTGTGTGGGGCACACCTTGGCAACCAGACAGCTGTGTCCCGGAAGCGGGTTCCACCCAGGCTGAAAATCTCCGTGATCTAGGAAAGAATTAACATCACAGGTCAGCATGGCTGGAGGCACTAAGGCAAGATGAGGGAAGGACAGGGGATCCTCCAACACTGACCACAGGTGTGCCAGCCCCTCCTGTCTCCTCTTCTGGGGCTGACTGAGAGACACAGTTATCCTTGTTCTCTTCTTTCTCCTCCTCAGGGTCTGGTGGCTCTTGCTTCACAGATGGCAGAACTGGGTCTACTGCCTGAGAGAAATGGGGAAGGGCTGCAGTTAGGACAGAACTGACCCAAGGGCAGTCTCTCTCTACCAGCCTGCCACACTTCCATCACCAAGAAATGCTGCCTCTGTGCCTACAGATTTTCCCATCTCTCACCAATCTTTCCTTTCAGTTGGGCAGCACAACAGACAAAGCTGCCTGCTTATGCAGAATGAAGTGATTCACAAACAACAGGCTACTTCAGCCATCATGCCTACAGCTGTGCTCACAACACCACTACCATGGCTCACCATCACTTTGCTTACATATCCTCTCACTGTGGCCCCCAGAAAACACCAGCACTGCCCCCACCTTGCTAGGGCAGTCGGGTTGCAATGTGGGAGAAGTCAGGATGGCTGTGCCTGGGGTCCACTCTTCCTGGGTATCTGTCTTTTCTTGCTTCACCTGTACAACCCAACTCAGGCGAGAGCACTGTGCCTCCTGCATGAGAGAGAATGGTAAAGTTGGCTTTAGCTCCTGGCATGAGGATACATGGGGCTGAGTAAGGTAGGGTAAGGGGCATTCTCACCTGCAATGGGACTTCTGTGGAAGCTGCTGCAGGGCCAGGCACCTGCACAGGACTGCTGGCACCCTCCCGTAAAAATACAAGATCGGTACCCGGCGGGGGCAATACAAAGCCACCACTTGCTTCCTGCTTCATTGGAGACTGGGCACGGCATGGTCGGGATGTGCCTGGCCGAGATGTGCCCGGTCGGGATGTGCCTGGTCGAGATGTGCCCTGTCGGGATGTGCCCGGTCGAGATGTGCCCGGTCGGGATGTGCGTGCAGTCCGAGACGGATTTCGTGTGGGGCCCGGGCGGTGCCGTTTTACAGAGCTGGGCCTCTTTCGGCGACGGCACAGTGGAGGCGATTCTGCTCCCTCCTTGGACCCTGATCCGATACTGGGCAGTAGTCGCTTCTATGAGGAAAGATGGGGATGCTATGATCATCCAGTGCCATGACCGACCACACCCACCCTGCTAACTTCCCATTAGTCCAGCAGAGACTCTGGGTACATAACACCTCATCACTTGCCTGCTAGTCTCTCGTTAGCAAAGCCAGTGCCAACTGGATTCAGTTACCCAGAAACAATGTCTGCTAATTCTTGGCCAGAACCACTGAACCACCCACCCACCTACCAGGTCTTCCCACCACTCCCAGGCACTGGGAGGCCTGGCCCAACCTATCCCATCCACTTAACCCTTTCTACCCCACCCACCATAGCAAACTGCAGGCACTGGCGCCAACGACACTTCTGGCGCTTGTGGTTGCTGCCCCCAAATTTGGGCTTGTCGCAGCAGAAGTCACAGTGGCCACAGTCCATCCGCCGTAGGCAGGCTGCACAGGCCCCACACTTGCGGTTCTGCCGCCGGTTCGTGTAGGGCTGCTGGGGTGGAGGGGAATGGCGCTGCTGTCACTAGGATTAGGAGGAGCCATCCTCAATGCCTACTCCAGTGCTGTTCCTGGCGCTCCCCTAACCATGTGGGTCAAGTTAGCTACACACTAACCTCAACCTGCTAAGTCTCCGCGCACCACACCTCAGCTTGTTACCTTCAAATTAGCCACCATCATTGTGCCAGCTGGCCCTGATCAACTATTAGGGATGTGGTTGTTCTAGCACCATTACCTTCACAGAACCTGCTGCTCCCCCAGGAACTGCCACGACAATAGCTTTGATGTCTCCCCCTTCCCCCTGTCCCTCTCATCAGGATTTCTCTGAATTTCTAAGATCTCTCCTCACTGTGTCAGCTGAGTCTACTTATCCTACATGAGCCCCATTAGTAGTCAGCCCCATTAGTAGTCTGCTAGTCCAGTATTAGGTACCAGCGTGAGGAACTATTACTGCAGTGGTTGATCCCTTACTATTCCTTCCCTCAGTATTGTTCGTGTCATTCCACTCCCCATTACTGTGCCGTTCTGTTCTTCCATTAGGCCCATTACAAAATCTGCTTTTTAGGAGTTAACCATCAGAACAGTCTAGGTTTATCCAGGAAGGGTGGAGACCACTCACTAGTTCATCCTCCTCTACACAGTAATAGATGAACTCGGCAGGTGATGAGGGCGCTGGAGCACTGGTGTGCTGTAGAAGCAAATGGGTGGGGGTCAGGCCAGGTACTAGATAAGGTCAGGCTTATACCATCCCCTACCCAACAGGACCTTACCAGCTCTCTTTGCTTTGGGGACTTTGATGCAGGAAGCTGAGGTGGTGGCTGAGCCTGGGAGCGCCGCCGGGGAGCCTTCTTGGTGTTGCAGCCTCCCCTTCGATGGCTGCGTTTCTTACCCTGGGAGAGAGCCAAGTTGAGGTTTGGAAGCATAAGGCAAGCACAGGACCTCCAAGAAGTAAGAAACAGTCAGGTAGTGCACACTGGGACACTCACAGCAGGGGGAACCACAACCAGGGGAGGGCAACGCTGACATCCTTGTTTGCAGCGATGAGGGCGGTGAGTAAGATGCTGGCAGAGAAAGGTGAGGCCAGAGAGGTAAGCATGGGGGCAGAAGAGAAAAAATCATGAGGTGGGCAAAGCCAGACCAGGAAGAAGCAACAGCAGCAGTGGTGGCAGCTTTAGTAGTGATGTCTGCTCTGGCCCAGCCTTGGCCCCAGCAGCACTGGCCCCTCCAGCCTGACTCACCCGAAGGCAGCGCCGCTGCACACACCTCCACTGGCGCCTGACACCAGGGCGGGGAGGGCGAAGGCAGACTCTGCAACGGCCACAGTCCTCTTGGGTCTGACAGCCTCGGCACACTCCACACCCTCGGCTCTGTGGGAGGCCGGAGGTGTGATGCATGGGGTCAAGGTCATGAGAGCCAGAGGCTGAGGTGAGCCTTGGGCCCACCCCATGTGCTTGACTCACCTTCTCCACAATCCGGAGGCAGCGCCTCCGTTCACACTTGCAGAACGGCTTTGGAGCTGCATCATGGGAAAGCTGCTGGAGGCATGTAGAGCAGGTCCCACAGTCTTCTTTTACCAGGCAGGCTGCACACTCTCCACAGCCCACACGCTGTAAATGTGTAGAGCAAGATCAAAGGCCCCAGTAAGGTGACTCCAAGACCTCTGTTTCTCTTATGTTTACTGACATGACTTCTATTCCCACCACCATGCTTCCTTCACTGAATCTAGTAATTACTGACTAGCTCACTCTGAGGACACTCTTTTATCTACTGGTTCCCTGTTGAATCCTTCAGTATGTTTACTGATTGACACCCTAATTCCTTAACCAATCTATGGCCACGTCCCTTCAAAAGGACTCTCACACCCTGTGGACCAGTCACCAAACATTCACATCCCACATCAAGCCCATTACATCCAGTGCCCACAGCAGGGCTGTGGATTCAATGTTCTTACCTTATACTTCCTCTGCTCCCGGTTGAAGGCAATTCTCTGTGCTGGCGGAGGGAAAGAGGGATGGAAAGTGAGACAGACTTTTTTTTTTTTTGTGGGGTCCGGTCGTGGGGCCTGAACTCTGGGCCTGGGCGCTGTCCCTCAGCTCTTCAGCTCAAGGCTAGTGCTCTACCACTTGAGCCACAGCACCACTTCCGGCTTTTTTCTTTTTTCTTACGTGGTGCTGAGGAATCGAACCCAGGGCCTCATGCATGCAAGGCAAGCACTCTACCTCTGAGCCACCTTCCCAGCCCTGTGAGACAGACTTTCTATCTGTCCCTTTAGGGAGACATTTGGTCAAGGGACACTATCTGGGCTCTGATGTCTATCATTCAACTTCCTATGCCAGTATCCACCACTCAAATTCCAGCTTAGCCTGATGTTTATTCTGTTCCTGTCTCCTAATGCCCCAATGCCTTAGGGGACCACTCACCTCGGCAGTCCTTGCACAATGTCTTAAGCCACTGTCTCTTGGTACCATCCCTTGAGAAGCTGATTCCACAGTTCTCACAGCACCTGGGATAGGAAAGACAGGTGTGGGGCCCTAATAGCACCCCTAACAAACATCAGCTACCTGGCTGACATCAAGTCAACACTCACCCAGGTGCAGGGAATGAAGCTTGCGCTGTGCCAGTATCAGCCTTGGTCTCATCCTTTGGGGTTTCCTTCCTGATCTCACTCTTTTGGGGTCCAACCTGATGATTCCGAGCCTTCACTGGCTTTGAAGCCTTCTTTTGCTTCTTGCTGGGAATGGCCACAGAATGGCCCTGGAGACATGAGGGCAGGAAGATTATGGTTCAGTACATGGGTAGGTGTCAGGTGGCTTAACCCCTGCCTGGGCACCCATATCATGAAGTACCTTGCTGGCTGGATGGCACAAGATGCCTTGTTTGAAGTTGAAGAGGGTGAGGTCACATGCAGGGCCCAGGTACCGGGTCAACTCAACTTTGCTTCGGATCCTGTCTCCTGTGGGGCTGGGGATGGATCAGGATGAGTTGGTAACTCAGGTGAAGCAAATTCATTCCACCCACCTAGCATTCCCACAGAGCGAGTGCAATACAGGAGGCAGCCAGGATTCAGGCTATGATTCCAAGCCAGGTCCCATCACAACTACCAGCATGTATACAAGCATTACTAAACACAGTGAACCACATAATGTCATTCAAATCCACCACAGGTCAAATATTCTACACTGGTCTAATGAAATTATAATAGGGATGAAAAATTCCTATAGCCTAGTGACATGATGACCATTGTAATGTCAAACACAATGTCTTACTCATGTTTTTGTGGTGATGCTGCTGTAAACAAGCCTGCTGCACTGCCAATCATATAGTATGGCACAACGCTGCACATGACATAATACTTGATTTAAGATAATGACTACAACTGTACTCCTTTTTTCATTATCTCAAGAGTTTAAGTTCACTATATACTACGTTGGCCACAACAGACTCACAGATCTCATGGTTACTACATCTCTTCATTCCATAATTTCCTCTTCTATTTGATTTAATCCTGTGTCATTTTGTTTGGTATAGTCCTAGGAGCAGCAGACTATAGTATATACATTATGGTAATGTGCTGCACAAGAACATCCTGACAAATAATGAACTACATACATAATGGGGTCCCACTGACTACATTGCCTAGGGATACAATAGTGGTCCTGTTTTGTCTAAGTACATCCCATCATGAAACTGCCTAATGGTACGCTTCTCAAATGTATCCCCACTGCTGGGATGCAATCAATGACTATAACATGTATATATATATAGTGCATTATACCATCTAGATTTGTGTAATTCTACTGTATGTATACACAGGAAAATCTAGTGATGCCTATTTTTCAGAATGTATTCTCATTATTAAATAACACATAGCTATATGATACAAACAGACATTAGCATATTTATAACACATAGTACTAGTGGTATTGAAAACACTTCATGTAAGTAAAAACATAAATGAAAACAGCAAAACATATGAAACAGCAAACATAAATATTACCTGCCAAATGCATAAACAAGGCAATTCAAAGCTGTTAGAAGACATATAAAAATACAACTATATATAATAAATTATAAGTAGTTGATAATAAACTTCATGGGTCTCTTCTGTTTCTGTATATCTTATAAGAAAGGCATTCACAGCAACCAGGTGTTGGTGGCTCATGCCTGTAATCCTAGCTACTCATTTCGAACAGAAATACATGGTTAGGTTTCAGCTAGCTTCAGTCACATTTTCAACCCCTAATTAATACACTGCCTTGTTTTATGTATATTCTGTTTAAAGGCATTTTACTTAATAAATATTTCTCACAAATGACTGCAAGGTCTATGACCGACTCAAAGCCAAGGACCTTGAAGACCATTTTTGTCATATAGGTTTGTCTACCAAGGTTCTCATCAAAAAAGTCTCATTATGGAAGTAGAGCTGTGGCTCAAAGAGGTAGCCTTGAAAAAAAGAACTCAAGGAGAGTATCCAAGCCTGAGTTCAAGCCCCTCAACTCACAATAAATAAACAAACGAACGAATGAAATTTTCCAGGCACCAGTGGCTCACAATCCTAGCTATTCAGGAGGCTGAGATCGGAAAATTGCTGTTCAAAACCAGTCTGAGCAGGGGAGTCTATGAGACTCTTATTGCCAATAGACTACTCAGAAAAAGCCAGAAGTGGTGTTCAAGTGGTAGAGGGCTAGCTCTGAGCACAAGAAAGCTCAGGAACAGTATCTAGGCCCTGAGTTCATGTCCCAGGACTGCCCTCCCCCCACAAAAAGAGTCATTAGCACTGAAACCTAAACGCTATTCTGAATAACAGCAAGCATTTAAAAGATTTTTCCTGCAGATTCTTGATTTGTACAGCCTGCATTCCACACAAGTATAACATTTTTCATACCATATCACCTTGTATAATGTACAAGCCAGCCAGCACAGAGATGGATTTATATTTCCCTTATGCTGGATAACATGTCTTTGGTTTTCCTTATAACAATGTTGTCCATGTTTTATTGGCCAACATTTCATGGATTCACACACTTAGCTGTTTTCCTAGTTTTCCCTTAGTGTCAACAATTACTTTTGGTTGTTACTTTTAGTAATTACCAGTGTAGCCCCACATACATACAGGCAAGTTTCTTCTTTTTCTAGATCCATATTTTGGATCTCTAATACTGAATTCACTGCAATTAATGCCAGAACAAAGCTTATCTGACACTTTTGTGTGTAAGTAACATCATAATCTTCTTGTATTCCTGACACTGGAGTACTACTTTAGGGGTCATATAAACAGAGAAACTGGGAAACTGGGAACAAACAGAAAAGCACACACACACACACACACACACACACAAAAAGGCCCTAAACAGATCAGAGGCAAAATGAGGCAAGTTGAGTACAACAGGTGAAAACAGAAAGCCCTTGTTCCATTTGGCCTGGGATCACACATACTAAGCAACTCAAAATTTTCACTCTTCTCTGAATAACCACGAAAGCACTGTGAATATTAACTTTGGTCAAATAAATTTTATTAAATAAGTGAATTTGCAAACAAAATCTTCAATTAATGATTGGAAATGTACGTGAATTGAATCACTCTCTTCTCTATAACCCCCAACCAGACTCAGCTCCACCTGACTTGCTCACAAGCCACCCAGTACCTCTGGTAATAGATGTCTGAGCGTCCACAGGTGACCCCAGACTTTCGATAGACCTCCCGTCGCTTCCAGCCTGGGCCCAGGGCTGGGCAGTCCAGCCAGTCCTCAGCCATGGAGGCTTTAGGAAATAGCAGCAGCCTGAAAAGAAAAGGGAATGGTGGGAAGTGGGTGACACTGAAGCTCTAAAAAGGGAAAAGCAAGTTGTGTCTCAGGACACACAAACCATTGGTTTGTGCTTTAATGTTTGTCTTTAGTGCTTGTTCAAAACTTACAAGCTGCCACAGGCAACAAGCATCTGATAATCCCTCATTTCCACCCTGTTCTTCCCTGTCCTGGGCCAGGAGTTTATTTCTTCTTCTTCTTCTTTTTTTTTTTCCATTTATGATGGTTCTGGGGCTTGAACTCTGGGCCAGGGTGCTGTTTCTAAGCTTTTTACCTCAAGTTTGGGATTCTATCCTTTGAGCCATACCTCCACTTCCAGCTTTTTGTTGGTTGTTGGTTGTGGGGGCTGAATTCTAGGCATGGGCACTGTCCCTCAGCTCTTCAGCTCAAGGCTAGGGCCCTACCACTTGAGCCACAGTGCCACTTCCGGCTTTTTTCTGCTTATGTGGTGCTGAGGAATCGAACCCAGGGCCTCATGCATGCAAGGCAAGCACTCTACCACTGATCCAACTTCCCAACCCCCATTTCCAGCTTTTTGATGGCTAACTGGACATAAGAGTCTCGTGGATTTTACTGCTTGGGTGACTTTGAAATTAAATCCTCACATCTGGACCTCCTGAGTAGGTAAGATCACAGAAGTAAGCCACCAAGGCCAAGGCTTCCCCGTTTTGACTTCTCTACTGAAGAGATAGAGGGATTCTGGGGAAGGATTCCCTAACCCTCCTATTCTCAGACTGAGGGTCCATGGTTTTCCGTTCACCATCAACCAGGAATTATTCTTCCTCCTTCATTCTTGCTTGTACTTGCTGCAGGAAACATTCCCTGGTTTGCTTGTTTCTGTGCTGATGCTGGGGCTTGAACTCTGGGCTCTGCATTTGAGCCACAACTCCACTTCCAGCTTTTTGCCTTCAGTCTGGTCCTCTACTTCAGTGTATGGCCTCCCATTACTTCCTTGGCCCAAGACCTCCCCATTTCCTTATTTTAGCATTTAAGCTATTTCTTTCTGCTGTCTGTTGTCCTTTTATCTTGCTATTTCAATGTTACAACTTTCACTGCCTTTGCATCATCTGAGCTAGAGCCCCCAATGATGGAAAATAACTTAAAATGAAAGCACTCACCTTTCCCTTGGCAGCCATACCTTAGGACTATCCTTGCTGCCCACCCTGCTGAATCATTTAGATTCCCTTTTCTCTGAACAAATGTACCCTGTGGTCTTGGAAGAGAGCCTGAGACCAAGACCACATCTGGCACTGAAACCCCTCATGGACACAGGTGCTGTTGAAATCTTTAGACCTCCTACTCAACGTAAAATTGCTCTCCCACCCCGCCTCCATGGCACCCGCTAACATCTGCCCCACCTGACTTCACCTTTTCTGCCTAATAAAAGGAGACCCTTGTTGTAAGGGAGGTGTTCAATTTTGTTCCTTTAGCCGAGGTGAAGACTTGGTGCTAGTCCCATGTTTTCATCCTGAATAAAACCTGTTGGTCTGTTGAGTTCCCCTTTTGGCTCTTTTCTTTATTCATATTCCCGATGCTCAAACATTTACTTACATCCAAACTCAACTCCTCTATATCAATATAGGAACAGGCCCTCATTCCTTCCATTCCTCAGCCTGGGAGCCTTTTTCAGTGTTCTAATCCCTTTCTGCCTATCACAGCCCACAACCCTCTCCAATTCCTCTCCTTTACAGACAAAAAGTTACTTTTGCCCAGTGCCAGTGGCGCACAGCTATAATGCTACCTACTCATGAGGCTGAGATCTGAAGACTGGGATTCAAAGCCAGCCCACATAGAAAAGTCCATGAGACTCTTACATCAAATTAAACAGCAGAAAGCTGTAAGTGGATGTGTAGCTCAAGTGACAGAGCCAGCTATGAGCAGAAAAAGCTAAGTGAGAGTGCAATGACCTAGTATCCATGCATGTGCATGCGCGCACGCTCTGTCTCTCTCTTTCTCTCTCTCTCTCACACACACACACACAATCAAACCTTGCAGCATCCCCTCCATTTCTCTCTTATCAGTCTCAGAGTCCTCAACTCTAAACCACCCCCTCACCCATGCCCCAGTTCCCTGCTGTTCATGCCCCAGGATCATGCCATCCTTGTCTGTCTTCTTGATAAGAAAAAACCTGCAGTTATCAGAACTAACTCAATTTGGTAATGGTGAGTTGTTATTGACAGAACCAGCTTGACCAGAATTAACTTGACCTTTACACTTCAAATTTCGAGAACTAACCGTTGGGGTAAAGCAAAACTCAAAACGCTCATGCTCTACCCAAAACTAAAACCCAGAACCCAAGCACCACAAAAGGGTTGTACTCCTGCCGGTTGGGGTTCAGGTTTTAGAATGGGAACTCCCTTGGGCCTTCTGGTGTAATAACCTGAGCGGCAAGTGCTGCTTGCTTCTTCGCGGACTATTTTCTATAACAATATGATTCCCTAATTGGGAAACAACCCTGCTGGTCCTTTGAGGCACCAGTATGGGCCTCCATTGGTTTGAACTCCACTAAACTGTTATTTGGGCCCTCCTTCTGGGGGCCCTGCAACTCTGAGAAAGCACAATCTCCTAGACTCAGTGCAGAATGCAACAACTTGTAACATCTGCTTTTGAATCAGATAATGGCCAGGTCCTTCTGACCCAACCAGTTCCATGCAGCAGGACAGAAGGAGAGCCTGATCACCTCCCACGGCCCTTTCTAAAAACCACCACCAGTTTAGGCCCCTTCTTTTAGAAGGAATCATCAGTTCAAGGCTTTTCTTTACAAAGGGCCACCAGTTGGTGTCTCTTCACAGACAGCCACCAGTTTAGGGCACTCCCTAAACAGGGAGGGATTGTTTTAGCCTCTTAGATGAATGTGTGAATGAATGTGAAACTATCTGTGGCCAAAACCTACGGAGTTCAGGTGGGTCCCAACTTGCAGCACATAAAGTGATTCACATTCCATAAGGGACCTCAGATCAGGCCTACGTTTTTTAATACATGTACACCTTTAGCTAAGAAGCACCTAAGCTTCCACAAGGGACTTGGCCAGGTGAATGACATTAGTACCTTCTGTTGTCTGTTCATTAGGGAAGTCTACTGTCTGGTATCAGGGGCGTATGCTTATCTAGACCAGTTCCCCTATGTAGACTCCTGGTTACAGACTACCTTAACCTTCCCTCAATGATGAGCTTCAACACAAACTCACAGGACCAATGTAAGATCTTATTAGTATAACTATCTTGGCCTCAGAAAAGAAGACCATTTATGAAGGAGACGCTGAGGAAGAAGCACTGCACTTATGCCCTACTGGGCAGTTGCCTGAAAGCCTGCCACTATCAGTCTTGCTTCAATGGGAAGAGCCGGACTCCAACCTGAGGACTGGAGCCTCAGGGCTGAGCAGGAGGCCCAGGCTCAAGTGTTGTAAATGCCCTGACAAGAACCGTGAGGTTGGGGCTGGGAAGGTGGCTCAGTGGTAGAGCATTTGCATTGCAGGCATGAGGCCCTGGGTTTGATTCCTCAGCACCACATAAGCAAAAAGAAAAAAGCCGGAAGTGGTGCTGTGGCTCAAGTGGTAGAGCACTAGCCTTGAGCTGAAGAGCTGAGGGACAGCGCCCAGGCCCAGAGTTCAGGCCCCACAACTGAACCCCCCCCCCAAAAAAATCGTGAGGCCCCCAGCAAATTGTCTCATATGGCACAGTCCAAAAGGGTGGCCTACATTTTATTATCAACTCTTCAGTACCACTGACCTCTTGAACTAGAAATATCATATTCTTTATCTGAAGAAACCCCAGGCCCTCAGAGACCTCCTGGAGTCCAACTTCCAGATCAACCAACCAACTTGGGGTAATTGCTGCCGGCTCCTTCTCACTCTTTTCAGTACTGAGGAAAGGAGGTGCATTTTAATGGAGGCCCAAGAGTGGCTCCAAGAACATATCCTAGGTGGCCAATCAGACCCGGTACATGCCAGTACTGCCACCCCAAACACAGACCTGTAGTGGGTGCACTATATTCAGAATAGGGGTGACCTGATCCTTAGGACCCCCTGCCTCAGGAGCCCCTGGTCGAAATGATGATGGAGGGCCAATGAGTTTTATGGTAGATACAGGAGCACAGCATCCCATTGTAACATGTCTAGTAGCCCCACTCACTAACTAGGAAATCACTATGGGGGCTACTGACTTGGCTCTTTTATCAAACCCAAGGCTGCAACGTGATAGCCATCTGGTATGCCATGAGTGTCTATATTTACGAGACTGCCCAATCCCTCTACTGGAAAGAGACCATCTGTCCATATTGAGCACCCAGAACATCCTCACCCAGGGGGAGCCAGCTCACCCAACACTGGGAAATGGGAAGGCCTTAATAACAACAGTGACAGGAGAATCTGAGTGGCAATTCTTTGATCAAGATGAGATTACCAGAATGGGAAGTTGGCTCAGTGGTAGAGTGCTTGCCTTGCATGCATGAGGCCCTGGGTCCCTCAGCACCACATAAGCAGAAAAAGCTGGAAGTGGTGCTGTGGCTCAAGTGGTAGAGTGCTAGCCTTGAGCTGTAGAGCTCAGGGACGGTCCCTAGGCCCAGAGTTCAAGCCCCAAGACCGGAAAAAGAAGAAGAAAAAAAAGATGAGATTACCAATTCACCTAGCCTACTGAAAGTTTCCTACTGTCTGGGCCAAAGGCAATCCTCCTAGTATGGCTAAAAAAATCACCCACCTCCCTTGGTTGTTGAACTTAAACCAGGAGCAAACCCCTAGGCATCAAAAACCATATCCAGTCGCCACGGAATACTCCATTGCTGCTGGTGAAAAAGTAACGGGGAAAAAAGACTATCAGCTTGTCCAGGACTTACGAGCAGTTAATAATGTTACAATAATCATATTCCCTATAGTCCCAAACCCTCTTTAACCTCATGCCCATGCTAGCTGGCAGGTCCATTTACCTTGATCTCAAGTATGCTTCTTTCTGCCCTGACCCCAGTGGGCCAGCCACTCTTTGCCTTTGAATGGGAGGATCCTGACAGAAGGAAAGGGGATCAACTGATCTGGACCCAATTGCCACACAGTGGTTAAAGAATTCCCCACTTTATTTGAAGAAGCCCTAGCTGGAGATTTGGCCACCTTCCCAGGGGACCAAATGAACAATGTCTTATTACCATATGTGGATGACCTTCTCCTAGCTAGCTCTAACCAAAAGGACAGTTGCAGGGGCACCCAAGCATTGCTGACCCTCTTAATAAGGCTGGCTACTAAGTCTCCTGGAAGAAGGCCCAGATATGTCAGCAGCAGGTAAAGTATGTGGGCTTCCTGGTCTCCCATGGGGAAAGATCGCTGAGGCCAGAGCAAAACCGAACTATCTTCTCAATACCTAGGTTAAACACCAAAAAGAGGTATGTGAAATCCTGGGTGTGGCTGAATTCTGCAGAATTTGGATACTAGAATATGTGGTATTGACTCTGCCTCTGTATGCGATTGTAAAAAGCTTAGAATAAGAGACTTTGCAATGGAAATTTAGTAAGAACAAGCTGTTCAGGCAATGAAGTGCCGGCTGACCTCTGCCCCAGTGCTTAGACTGCTTGGGAATTCAATCTTTGTTTTAATGAAAAGCCAGATGGTCCTGGGCATCCTCACTCGAGATTTTGGACCATGGTAGTGACTGGTAGCTTATCTCTCCAAGCAACCGGACTCTATGGTGGCATGATGGCTTCCATGCCTTTGGGCTTTGATCATCACTGTAAGCCTACTTCAGGAGGCAGATAAATGAACACTGAACCAAAACATCAACATAAAAGTGCCTCATGCAGTGACCACCTTAATGGATAGCAAACGCTATTGATGGCACCCAGATGATGCACTCTGGGGTTACTCTGTAAAAATCAACAGGTCAAACTAAAACTATCACCTGAAACTGAAACTGCCACCTTCCTGCCAGCAGACCCAGGCTCCCAGATCATGTCTGTGAAGACTTGATAGATGAAGAGTTTTCAAGCAGACCTGAACTAACTGACCACCCCCTCAAGCCTCCAGACTTGGTCCTGTTCACCAACAGGAGCTTTATGTCAGGGAAGGATGCTAGATGGCAGGATATGCAGTCACCACCAAGAACCAGACATCGGAGGCAAAGGTCCTTCCTCAGGGATGGTTGGCCCAATGGGCAGAATTATGGGCCTTAATCAGGACTCTGGAATTTGCTGCCACCAAGTGAGTTAACATCTTCACTGACTCTAAATATTCCTTCACTACCTTGCATGTACATGGAGCCCTTTATTTAAAAAGGGGGGGGGGAATCCTCTTGGCAAGAGGAAAAGAAATAAAGTAAATAATAAAGAAATCCTCCACCTGCTGAAGACAGTATGGAGCCCATCACAGGTTGCTGTAATCCACTGGAGAGGGCATCAAAAGGGCAACAACACAGTCAGTAGAGGAAATAGTATGCCAAGTAGGTGGCAAAGAGGCTATTCAACAGCCTAAATGTCCTGTCACCACAGAACGTATGGTCCAGGTGTTAGTAAACCCAAGCTTCTCAGAAAGTCCAAAGTATAGGCAAGAGGAAGCTAACTGGGCAACCTTGGAGGGAGGACATCAGACAATAGAAGGTTATAGAGGGTCCCCCAACCAGTGTCTCTTGGTCCTACAGAAATTGGCCTATCAATAACACAATGCCAAGAAATGGGGCACTGGGAAAAAACTAAACTGTAATCCTTGTTAGAATGGTATTACTTTATTGCCAGACTCCCCACCCAATGTGCCTACATTAGTCAAAAATGTACAACTTGTACCAAAAATAATGTAAACCAACAAATTCCCAAGACCCTTCGCATACAAGCTGCGGGGATATCAATCACCCTTTGAGGACATACAGTGGACTTCATGGAAGTAAAACCAGGCCAAGGATTCCATTATCTGTTAGTTCAATTCTGCACCTATTCAGGTAGCTGAGACCTTTCCAGACGCAAGTAGGGGGCCTGGGAGGTTGCAAAAGCACTGTTAAAGAGATCACACCCCTCTACGGGCTGCCTCTGTCTACAGGATCAGACAACAGGCCAGCATTCATTTCTGAAGCCAAGGCTTCAAGTGTCCAATGAAAACTCCATATGCCTACTAACCAGAATTCAGGAAAAGCTGAGTGCATGAATCAAACTCTAAAAACTACCTTAGCCAAACTCTGCCAAGGAACTGAGGCACCCTGCTGCTGCGGATTCCACGAGTCAGGTACACCCCAATTCCTTGGGATTTTCCTCTTTTGCGGTTATATATGGCAGGCCCCCACCTATCTTTGGTAGGTGGGAGGGAAGATTCCAAACAATTGGGAGAAATAGAGTTGTCACGACAGCTCCAAGCCTTGGGAAAAAAAAAAAAACAACACTCCGTTGTATCTCCTGGGAAAGTACTCCCTTCTCCTTGGAAACTAGGCTCAGCCTTGACAACCACGGGAGTCCGTGCAGGTCAAAACCTGGGAAAAGGAACCACTCCCAGTGTGGGGAGGGCCCCATATTGTCATCTTACCCCCCCCAACTGCTGTAAAGGTTGCGGGTATCACTCCTTGGATCCACCACATGAGTTAAGAGAGCAGCTGTCCTGGAGGAGCTGGAAAGTAAAAGCTCACCAGAGAAGACCCGCTGAGAATAAGCTTACGGAGACAACAGCCCTGCTTTGGTTATTCCTGGGCTGACTAATTCACAGCTTGAGGGTGATCTTCTGGAGCAGAGCATTTGTGACAATCTCTGCGACTGGACTGTGTATAAAAACTATGTAGACACCACCATTTTGTAGCCATTAGTTTATCATTCATACTATTCCTGTCCTGTAAAGTTATGTTTTGACCCCCTAGAATCCCCCAAGGAAATATGGTTTGAACTGAGGGCCAGGGGCAGTGGGAGATGTCTGTTATCAGTTTCTCCAGACCCTGCCATCAGGAGCTATTTGGAGGATGGTTCTCAAGACTAGGTGGACTCCAGACCTTAGTCTTGGCCATAGCAGCTGGATGCATAATCATTCTGTGTGTACTGCCTTCATAGTGCACACCCTCTTAGCTACAGAACTGGCAGTAGAAAGGATAATTAACGGCTGCACAGATCCTTGCTTTGCGAGTATACTAGTCCATAGATCAACACAATTTATTAAAAGATGATGCTACTATAGATATTCTAATATATACACATACTTCAATATGCATACATATCCTAATATATATATCGGATATATATATCTATACACACGTGAGTGTTGGTGTATGGAGAGAGAATCAAAAGGGGTAATGATAAGGAAAACTTATCATCGGAACTAGCTCAACCTGGTAAGGAAAAAAGCCTTCTATTGCCAGAACCAGCCTGATCTTTATGCTTCAAGTAATTTTCGAGAAACTAACCACTGGGCTGCTCCTGTCGGTCAGGGCTCAGACTCGAGTAGGAACTCCTCTGGGCCTCGCGTCATAAACCTGAGTTCTCCAACTCTTGGAGCACCGTTTGCTTCTTCCAGTATTTTCCACGGCATTCTGGCCCTCTCCTTTTTCTCACCCACCACAGGAGCCCCTCCCCTCAGCGATCCAACCCTCCCGTTTCTCCCTGTCATCAGCCGGAGGGGTCCCTCGATTCTCCCTCTCAGTGTTGCGAGCCCCCCAGTTCTCTTCCGTGGCCCCTGGGTGTGCTAATGTCTCTCTTTCCGGCCTGCCCCTGGTCCCAGGCCCCCGCCACTCCTGTCAGTGTGCGGCTCTGACATTCCTTCCTCCCCCCAGCAAGTCACCCCATTCCTCCCTTTCAACCCTCGGACGCCGCCATTCTTCCTCCTCCTGGCCCGAGGGCCCTCCCTCCCCGTCAGGCGTAGTTCCTTCCCGCGTCGCCCGAGCGTCCTCCACTCCCACTCCCACGGCTCTCTCACCAGCTCGGCGCGGGCCGGGAGCTCCCGCGGCTTCTGCTAGGCCTGCGGCCCCATGACGAAGATGCCGCCTGCACGTCCCGCCTAGCCCTACTTTTCTCCCACCTCCGCGGCCGCCGCCTCCGAAACCCTAGCTGTCGCACCAGCGGCTGTTCGTTGTTCCCGGAACCGGAAATCCACTGCCTGCCTCTCGTGCTCCGTCCCGGACGTGAAACCCACACACACAGCTTTGGCGGCTGGGTCCTGGAGCGGACACTGCCGCGCCTGCGTGCTGAAGCCCCACGGTGGGGCACAGGGGGCGCGCACCGGGCCGGGACCTTCTGCGCCTGCGCTGCCTCCAACCCCAGCTGGCGCCCACTTCTCGCGCGGGAGCGCTCGTGCTCCGAGCTCCTCAGCTGGCGCGCCGCTTCCCACGCCGCCCATTTTGGTGGCGCCTGCGCCTTCGACTCAGCCCAAGGGGCGGGAACCGCCTTGCTGAAGTACCGTTAGACTCCCAAGTAGTGAAGAGGGACCGCCCAGCCGGGGCTCTGCGGGGCGCCTTATCTCGGTTGCGAGGACAATCCTTCCGCGGATGAGCTGAGATGCATCCAGTATTGATTTGCTCGATTGTTACTTACTCCAAGATGACACCCCTCCATTATCACACACTTCATACAGTGCTACCCGACGCCATCCGGCCTGCCCCACGACTGCTCACCTGCGGCTTCTCAAGGCTAGCGCTTCGGCTCCCACACTAGGCCGGCCAGCAGGGTCGGAAGACAGACCTCTAACCCTGCACCCCGCCTAGACTGAGTTTAGTTCGCTCCGTTTGGCTGCTAGTCGTGGCCGGCCGTCCATTTTTGGGGCGTGCTGCAGTTCTGTTAAGCACTTAGTGCCAGTTCATTTGCCTATCTGTCCTAGTGCCATCCGGAGTTAATTGCCAGTTCTACCTCTTATTCCTAACACATACCCTCCGACACTGGCCCTGGCCCTGGGACATCTTCCCCAGGCCCCCCAGTGTCCCCTCCAGTATGATGGACTGGGGGGTGGGGAGTGAGGGAACCCAGGAGAGCGGGCGCACTGTAAGTAAACGGTAGGTTTAGGTAAACCGTGGCCACGCTGTCATGCTGTGTTCCCCTATGGCAGAGGAGACGGTGGGACAAGCCCCTGTGGTAGGCTAATCCCCAGCTGGTAGGCTAATCCAGAGCCCCTCCGGTCTTGCAGGGGCCGATCACCAGTCTCACTGCCTGAGTGGCAGATGCCAGCGTCCCAAGATGAGTGACAGAACATTCAGGTCTTTGGGCTGCCCACGGTAGTCATATCCTCACAACCTAAGGGACAGAATGGGTCCCCAGCTGTACGAATAAGGATCTTTCCCGTCAAACAGCTGTTTGGCATGAGCAAAGCCATTTTGGGAGCAGTGCAACCTACGGCTCTGGGGGTGGAGGTGTTCTTTTGGTCAACCTTAAGAAATCTGTTGAACCAAAAAGTCTGCCGAGGGTACTCAGTGATTTGACTTCTGTCAGCTGTGCACTCTTTTGCAGAAGTAAAAAATTGCTGTGCTATGTAATTTCTTAGGCTTGGGTCTTACTCTGTTGTGCTACCTCAGATCCTAAAGGACATTTCCAACACTATCCTCACAGCCTACTCCTGAGAAGAGCAGTGCCAGTGCCCACCTCTTCCGGAGACTGGAACGACAGCTGCAACTGGAGCAGGTATGGAGACCATCAGGAGCTCTCTTCCTTGGTTCAAAATTTTATTAACAAAACCCAGGGACGGGAAAGACAAGGGAAGTCCCACCTAGGCACAGAGAATGGAAACAGAGGGACAAACAAAGACAGAGAGAATTGTGACACCCTCTTGCAAAGGGCGGCTGGCCAGTCAAACTGTGGATGGACAGTGGGAACACCACTCAGGGACAGTGGAAGGAACATGAATGGAGGAATGAACAACTGGGCACCCAGGGCTGCTCTCCCCACTGGAATCCAGGGTGTGAGGGGCTCTGGGCTGGTGAGGCTCAGCGGTCGGCACTGGACCGTAGGTCAGTTGTTAATGGGTCATGCTGGATCGTCTGGTGCAGCATCAGGGCCAGCAACCCTGCCCGGTTTGTCATGGCTGTGCGAACATTGCGCTCCTGCTCAAACAGTTCATCCAGCTTGTACCACTGCCAAGAGAGTAAAAGATGTGAGAAGCAGCCCCTGAAGCCCATCTCAGCCTGGCCATGTCAAGCATCAAAACCTACCACCCGCACTCGCTCCAGGTCCACTTCGGCCCTCCGCAGCTTCTCCCAACAGTAGTGACGATTGCACTGGCGCTTAGGCAGTCGGCAGAAGTCACCTGTGAGCTCAAAGACGTCACGTACAAGGGGGCACCCACAGACCTCATCAGCTGGCACCTGCAGGAACAGCAGGGGTGGGACGAGTAGGGGTAGATAGGGAGGAGAAAGGGGAATTAAAGCTGTCAGGAAAAAGGGAAGGAAAGAGGGGAAGCATGAGGCAAGGGTGGGCACAAAGGGGAAGCTGGAGGAAAAACTTACTTTGGGGTCCCGTGAGTGCTCAGGACATAGCACCTGGAGCCGCTTACAATATGTTTTGCTCTGAGGATTGTAGACATCACAGAAGAGTCGTGTGGCCCTAGGGATTAAGAAAGAAAAGAGGGTCTGCAGCTGTCAACTCAGATTATCTTGAAGGCCCACCTATCCTTACCCATGTTCATATCCTGTCCTAGTTTCACACAAACTCCATTTCTGATCCCACCCTTACCTTCCCTCTACTTCTCTAACTGTACCTGGCACCTTCACTCACCCTTCAATGCGTGTGGGGTACATGGACCCAAAGGACGTCTGGCTCTCATACTAAAGGGATGAGCACAAATGGAAGGAATTATGGACATGCACTACATGCCCTCACAGACACCACCCAAACACCACTGAAGGTCCCACCCTAGCCACCCCCCCTCAGGCTGACACCCTGACCTTGGCATAGCAGCGCTCCATATGGCGCAAGGCAACACGTGGGTTGATGGGGTGCCCACAGGAGACACAGAAGATTTGCAGGTCTGTGTCATCACTGTCATTTTCATTGCTCTGCAGAGGGTGGAAGACATGTTAAGATACTGGGATCAGGAACTAGGCCCTGTCTGGCTACGCCCTGCTCTCTCACCTCTTCATCCTCTCGAACAGCCTGCTGCTTGGCACGCAGAATGATGGCCTCAAGCTCATGGAATCTACGTTCCATTTCCTGAAGACGTGTGCGGGCACTCTGCTGTTCACGGCGAATGCGTTCTAGCAGCTTCTTGCCATGCTCTTCAGCAATGCAAGGGCTCTGCTGCCATTGCTGGATGCGCTGGGGGAGGATCTCATAGATGCGGCTGCAGGGAGGCAGTGGATGGAGTGTAGGCAAGGAAGCAACAAAACCAGTATGAGTGGTGATGAATGGCTAACACATGGATAGGTGATGAAAACATGAAAGGGTGGTGAATGGCTAATTGGCAGGATGGGCAGCTGGACACATAGCTGGATGCATGGTCAAGTAGGCATGTGGATGGATGTGCCTGGTTGATGAAATGATTTTATAGGTAACTGACTGGAGACTTTGGTCATGCCCTATGTTATTTTCTGACTTCCTTCAATCCTCCAGGAAAGACTTACTTAGCTGCCAGCTTCATGCCACAATCGTCTGAGCAATACTTGGAGCCAGGCTGGGCAGCACGCACACAGCCAGGCCCCAGGCACTGTGGCAGAGATGCAGGGTCCTTAGCATCAGCTCTCTCTGGGTGTTTCCATTTGTCCTTGTGCTTCTGCTTCTGTCGATGCCGCTTATACCTCTCTTCCTTCTATTGGGCAAGATAGGTCCAGTCAGGGTGGAACTGAAGTTAACCTAGATCCTGTCTCTCCATTCTGGCATTTTCTGGCTTTGTCCCATTCAGCCCTGATCTCTCTGTTATCTCCCCCCAACCCCACCCCACACTTTGCCCCCTCCACATCTGCTTTCCCCCTCCATCACCTTCTTCTCAGACTTCTTCTCCCGGCGTTTCACATGCTTCACTTTCACTGCCCTCTTGCGCAGTGCAGGATCCAGAAATGGGGACTCTTCTGTGTCACTCATCCAGGGCTATATGCAAAGTATGATCTGACTCAGCTGTTTGACTTAGGACAACCCCACCTCTTACTCATTTCCCAAAGCCACTTTGGATATACTGCCTCCCCTCTCCCCAAGAATGACCAAATCCCACTCTCTTGACACCCACCAGGCCATGGTCATCAAAGGCCCCTGCACAAAAGTCCTGGTACAGGTCAGGGTCTAGTGGTAGCTCCTCATCTGAGAGTGGCTCAGGTGTTACTGTAGCTTCAGGTGGCTCCTTGACCACTGATGACACTACTGTCCCCTCATCTTCCCGGATACGCCCCAGCTTCTGGGATGTCTGTGGCTGCTGTTGAATGGGCAGTGGCCGGCGGGGCCTTGGTATGGATTCTGAAGGTGTCACAGGAGAGAGCTGAGGGGCAGAATCTCAGGACTGGCCCTGACTGCCCTGCCCACATGCCCTGCCCTACCCTGGGGGACTGGACTCACCGAAGATGGGAAGTACTTGTATGATTCCTGTGCCAACAAGAGGAAGGCACAGGTCAACCCCAGGTAGAGAGAGGGTGGCCCTGCCCTAGCCCTGCCCGCCTAATATTTCCTTACCTCTTCAGGCACCTTTACCCCAAAGGTCTAACTTCTCCTGCCCTGATATGCCTGACCATTTGCAGACACCTGGGCTTACTAGAGCTGAAGGTCTCCTACCCGGTCAGCATACCGGGCCATGTGGCATTCATCTGGACAGGGCAGACCCCTTCTAATCTGGATATAATCAGGTTCCAGCCCACCCACTGCCTCAACCCCCAAGCTCTACGTGGACTACTAGAGCCTTGCCTCCCACCTGAAGCTTCCCAGCTCTGTCCATGCTCACCCGGGCCCGCAGCTGGCACTGGCGTAGCCGGCACTTCTGGCGGATCTTATTGGGGCCCCCAAACTTCTTCATGTCACGGCAGAAGTCACAGTGACCACAGTCTTCTGTACGCCGGCATGCCTCACACTCACCACACATTCGAGCAGACCGTTTGATCTGTTGCTGTTGCTGGTGATGCTAGGAAAACAGTGCCCAGAGTAGAAATGACAAACCCCAGGAGGGCCCAAGATGGGACAACTTTACCAATCCCAACTTCTTGCATCCACTCACCTGACTAGATGTGGCCACCAAGGGCTGTGGAGAGGATTTGTGGGGCGAAGTAGAGCCCCGAGCAATCATGGCCCCAACCCCTGTCCCTGACCCTGCACGGCGCTGCAGGTCTGGGTCTGGAACAGGCCTCTTACGCCCTCCACCCTCATCCCGAGGCTCACTGCTGTCCCTCTCACTGCCATCCCGCTCTCGCGATTTTTTGTGCCGATACCGAATCTCCAGCTTCGGGTCTTTCTCTGGGGAAGGGGTAAAAGGTGATGCCAGAGCGGGTTGGCATGGGTTCTGGTCCAGAATGATCTCAGAACTTTCTTTCTCTTCTCTCCCTCAGGGTCCCACCCACCTGATCTGGGCTTCTGGGGGCTCAGAATGGAGCTGGCAATTCCAAATCACCACAGAACGCCGCTCCTACCCGTGACCCCTCTCCCCGGAAGCCACCTGCCTTCCCGGGCCCTCGCACCCCTCACCTCGGCAGTCCCGACAGTACCACTCGCGGATGGCCTTGGCCATCTTCTCCGTGATCCGGATGCAGTCCCCATGGAACCACTCGTTGCAGTTGTCACAGCCGCTGCAGAGGGTGGGGCGGCGGGAGGGGTGAGGGGCGCCCCGCGGCCCGGGTCAGGGGCCGCCCACCCCGGTCCCTCGCTCACTCACATCATGAAGCAGTTGATGTCGGGCTTGCGGCAGATGCAGTAGATGGGCGCGTTCTCTCCGTTCTCCGACTTGCTGTCCTCCCCCGCGTCGGGCGGCTCCGGGTCCGAGCCGTCTCCCTCCTGGGCGAGCCAGACACACTCACACGGCGTCTCGAACCCGACCCCCTCCGTGTGGACGCCCCGCTCCGCGCCAGGCCCACCGCCCTCACCACCGAGTCCCCAGCGGCTCGGCCCCGCCGACCCCCCGACAGGGGTCCCCACCAGGCCCCGACGGCCCACAGACATCCGGACGCGGCGTCCCCGCGGGGGCTGCTGCCTTCCCGCAGACCCACCCCCTCGGCCCCGCGTGCAGCTTGCCCCGACAACTGCATCTGCAGGCCCCCGCCGGACTTGCACCCCGGACCCCCGCGCCGCCGCCGCCTCGCCCCGACCCCGCCATGCTCTCCACAGACACCCCTCGTCCCGGCCCACAGACCCCGGAGACGACCCCCCGAGCGCCAGTGCACACCACGCTGACCATACCACCAGCCCGGATCTCCGGACGCCTCCCCGGACCCGGTACTCACCATTTCCCCGCTCCCAGAGAACCCGCTGGCGACTCCACCACAAACCCCCGAACCACCACAAACCCCTCAGCAGCGTCGGCGGCGGTTGCAAAGACACTCACAACTACTTCCGCTACTACGCGCGCCTCCCGGACACCGTACTCCCACCGCGCATGCCCAGTGCGACCGCGGAGCCGCTAAGCGCCCGCCGAGCGTCCGGAATGTCCCCGAGGCGCCGCCATCTTGACAGCCAAAGCCGTACGGCAGCCGGGTCTAAACATCCTCGGCCTGGAAGTGGCCATCGCCAAGGAAGCCGCCACCTTTTGGGTCGAGTCCGTCCTTACGGCGATTCCCCCCCCCCGCCCCCGCCCCCCCTGCCATTCCGCGACTGCTCAGGCAATATGGCCGCTTCTGGTTCACGACTTGCCCACGGACGCCGTCATCTTGAAACCTGATTCCGTAAGCGAGTCTGCTCCGTACGTTCCTAGGCGACTCAGGACGGCGTCCTAATCTTCCGTGCGGGTCTTCCTCTGCTGGGCGCCGCCATCTTGGCAGCTCGTTCCGTACGTGGGCCGGCTGGGGTGCAAAGGCGGGCGCGCGCGGCCCGCCGCTGCCGCTGCTCCTCCTCCTCCTCCCGGACGGCCTCGTTCCTTGCTGAGCTCTGACTTCTCCCTTTTCACGTAAAGCCGCGGGGCGGGCTGTGCGCCCGGTGTCTGCCAGGGAAACCGGTCCGCCCTCCCGGGGGCTCGAACTCCGGTCCTGAGTGCTGTCACTCCGCCTTCCTCAAAGCTAGTGCTGTCACTTGAGCCACACCTCCGCGTCTGCCTTTTTGGGCGGCTCATTGGAGGGAAGAGCCTCACGGATTCACCAGGCTGGCTTCGGACCGCAGCCCTCCAACCTCAGCCAGCTGAGCAGCTAGAAGTAGAGTTGGGAGCCAGCTGTAGTTGGCACCTGGCTTGACCGCCATTATTTTATGTTCTGACTCCTTGCTGGTCTTCAGTCAGGCCTAGCATGGTCTGGATTTATTCTTCCGAGGTAAAAGTAATCCTTTTTTTAAGTTTTTGTGCAAAAGGGGTTTCATTTCAACGAGTCAGACTGAGTATGATGCATCTTGCTCAATGTCATAATTCTTACTTTTTAAAAAAAGTTCTTGAGATATGGGGGTCTTGTCATTGTAGCGAAGGCTGGTCTGAAGCTCACGATTCCCCTGCCCTAACCTCCCAAGTGCTGGGATTACAACTGTGCACCACCCCTCTGGGTCTTTAAAAATAATGGTTGAACTAATTTCAAATTTTACTTAAGTTCTATAAGATGAACAATAGCCTTACAGCGTAGTGCGTTTTGCTTTAGTTTTGCCTCTTTTACTTTCTTCATTGTTAAAATATTTAGAACTGAAGACAACCAAAATAAAGTGGTCTGCAGATTTCTATCATGACTGAAAGACAGTAGTGGACAGTACTCAGGTCCTTCAGTATTCCACAGAATCATGACATTCATATGAACCCATTCAATTTAGGTGCTGGTGCTATTAGAGTAAATAACTTTGGAAATACCTTTTTTTTTTTTACTTATTATCACATCTTATCTTTTCTAAATGATTACCAATCTGTTTATAGCTATTTTTGCCACTGGAATATCTTTGTTCTATGCTGTTTCATGTCTGTTCTGAGATTTTTCTGATTTTTTCCGTTTTGAGTTTCAGTTCAATTGTATAGCAATCTGTCAGCATACTGTATATGATTTGTATTCTGTTAAAGTTGTAATAAGGGTATTATGTACTTGACATTGGTGAATGCTCTGCATTAGTAAACGTGTCATCTTCTGCAGGAAGTGTGTCACTGCAGAGGTGAGAGAGGTGAGAACCTATAGCAGGTGACTGTGAAAAATGCTGGATATGGTCCAGACATCAGTGTTTATCCATAGGGGCTGGACTAGAGCCCAAGCATATGTTTCTGATAGGTACATTAATAAGATTGTTCTCTTTATATTTGACTGTGTTGTTTAAAAACTTAAAGGCACATACTTCTCTAAAAAACAGAAAAATAAAGAGTATTCAAAAAAAAAAGTGAGTGAAGTTTTGCTTCTTGAAGTTTTAGAGCACAGACCTGACTGGGTTTTGTTTTGTTGACATCCTTGAGAAGAATTCACTGCCCTGCCATCTTGTGGCAGCTACACACATTGTAGTACAGCAAAAAAAAAAAAATCTGTTTTTAGCAAGATTGAAAACTAAATAAACTCTGATTTGGCTGAAACCTTACTGATACCAAGCATAAGATAAAGTATCTTATTTGAGGGTATAGTTCTCTTTTTTGAATCATCAACAAATGTGATTTCTTCCTTCCTTCCTTCCTCCCTCCTTCCCTCCCTCCTTCCTTTCTTTTTTTTTTTTTGTCAGTCATGGAGCTTGAACTCTGGGACTAGGTACTGTCCCTGAGCTCTTCAGCCCAAAGCAAGTGCTCTATCACTTGAGCCACAGCACCACTTCCGGTTTTCTCATGCTTAATTGGAGATAATAGTATCACTTTCTTGCTCGGGTGGCTTTGAACTGTGATACTCAGATCTCAGCCTCCTGGGTAGCTAGGATTATAGGTGTGAGCCACTGGCGCCTGGCAAAGTGGAGATTTCCTACATAGAATACGTTAAACATAAAAGCCTTTCCTTGAGGGGTCAGGACCTCCTCAATGTGCAGAGAAGTTGCAGCCATCACCAGGCAGAGCCGGGCTGAGTCATAATCAGAGTAATACTAGTACTCTAGGGACTGGTGGCATTTTCTTACTATACTCTTGTCAAGGTTCTCCCTAGGAACAGAACCAACTGAATATATTTGATTATAGAGGGGTTTTATAAGCTTGGCTTACATCATCAAAGGCTGAAAAGTCCCACAATGACTGTCTGCATGCTGGAAAGCCAGAGAAAGCAGCAGCTGCTCAGTTCAAGAAGCTGGAAGCCTCGGAATTAGGAGTCATCAATGATGTCAACCCCCTCAGAGAAGAAAGCCCTGAAAGCCCTAGGGACAGCTACTTGTGTAAGTATGTAAGTGCTGAACAATCTGGAGTCTGACTTCTATTGGCGAGAGCAGCAGCAAAAATACGTGCAAGTGCTCTAAAAGGGTCAATGTGAGTGTGAGGAAGCTTCCCCCATCTTCCACTATTTCATTCCATCTCTTTGATAGTGATGCCACATTCAGGGAGAGTTTCTTCACCCAGTTTTCTGATTCTCCTCCCAATCTTCTCTGGAATTTGCTTGCTACTGGGCACTGGTAGCTCGTACCCAAGAAACTCCTCGCTACCCAAGAAACTAAGATCCGAGGATGGTGGTTTCAAAACAGCCCAGTCAGGAAAGTCTGTAAGACTCCATCTCAAAATAAGCAGCCAAATGTTGGACTAGAGGATTGACTCAAGTGCTAGAGCACCAAGCAAGAGTGGGAAAGCAGAGGAAGTTTAAGCCCTGGTACTGGCTCAAAAAACAAAGACAAACAAAAGGAAACAAAAACAAGCAAAAAAGAAATGTGATTATCAATTTTCTCTGAGTCTTGATATGAACCCACTGGGGGATTAAGGAATAACTCTGATGAGGGGGGATTCATTTGCTGAACTTTTTTAAATGAGTGGAAATTGTTGCAATAGAAAAGAAGAGCACAGACAGACATGAATGAAGCCTGTGAGATATTAAACAATCTGGACTTGCCACCCCAAAAGGCCGACATCTCCAGGATAAGTTGTTCGTGAAAGGAAAAGAAAAATATTTAGAAAGCTAGCAAGCCTAAGAAGACAGAGGTTATTTACTAGCAATAATTATTGTTTCGGGACTCAGGTGTGACAAAGGCCTTTATAGGGAGAAAATAGTCCTTCAGATGCTGTGTTATTGGCTGAAATGGGATCCCATCTACCATGCTCATCTTTCTGTCTTCAGCCTTGAAGGAGAAGGAGAAAGTCTAGGCAAGTCTAAGTCGAATCAATCCTATATTACAGTTTTAGACAAAACATTTACATATAATATATATAGCTATATAACATATTTATATATTATATGGAATTGTATATTTATGTCTATATTTAAAGTAGTTGTACAAAGGGGTGTCAATTCCACAAATCAGATTATGAGTACAAAGCATCATGATCTATTGTTCACCCCCATCTCCTCCCATCCCATTCCTACCCTCAAGTTATATAGTTCAACTTTTACACAATGTACATTGAATATACTGGCTGCATTTGCTCTCCTTTCTCCCTCTACTCTTGTGCCTCCCTTCTTTTTTACCCCCTCTTCCCTCCCCAAAATATATTTCAGCTTCCTAGTTGTGCTAAACAGTTCATTAGTTGTTCAGAGGTGGTACATTGGAGTCTTCACCTAATGGACAAAACATTTCTAATCATCACACAGAACTCAGCAGAAATCCAACCCAAAGATTAAGGTGACAATGGACAGAAGTACAATATGAAAGCAAAGATGTCAACTTTTTTCATCACTTTCAAGACATCTGTAGGCCCAAGTAAAGAGTTGTTTTTTTTTTCAACAAAAGCATCCTTGGAGTTCCTAACATAGGCAACTGTTAGAACCAATGTGTCAATGGCATTATCTATAGCAAAGCTTATAGGAAACTAGAAATATGTCTCCCAGCTCTGTGATCTCCAAACTCAGTGATAATTTAAAAGACAACTAAGAGCAAGTGAAGCTGGTAAGTTTATTGAGGCTGTCTCTCAGTTTCAGATGAGCTCTTGGAGCTGTCATGGTGGTGGTAGAGGACACACACAAGACACAGGCAAATCCCAAAAGCAGCTACTGCAGCAAGATCAACTTGTAAGCAAGAAGTGCTGTGAACAAAGCTGATGAGGCAGACAGAGGCCAGCCAGGTCGACGGTGGCTTGTGCATCACACCAAAGCTGGGTTTCTGTATTGGCATTTCAGGAAGGGAGTCTGAAGATCATTGGGCTCCTACCTGAGCATCATTTGTCAGGTTTGGTGGCCCGGCCCTTCTATCAGCAGATCTACTTTTGTAAATATTGACAAACAGGTCAAGTAAAAAAAAAAAAGATGCCATTGTTAATTACAAAGCTGCTGTGGGTGGCAGTGTCAGGTTCAAGTGGAAGGAGGTAGGACTTAAGATTGCGAATAAGGGCAGTATAGTGGGATCGGCGGCAAGGGGAGTGGACTCAGGTAAATAATCAAAAAGTCAAGTAGTTAAATGTGGCCTGCCTGACCTACACACTATTTTAAGGATTTCCTTCTGGCTTCAGGTTGGGGTCATCCAACAGAGCAAAGGTTCTCAGAAAGAGATGTGTAAGCAGGAGAGTGGGGGTAGGTATTTATTATCCCAGCAGATCTATATGACCAACCTCTACCCAATGTCACAGTTCCTGTTAAGTGACCCCTTTCATAGATCTATCCCTTGCTCACATGACCTTTAATCTTTGTGTTCAGAAGTAATAGCTATCTCAACACCACCATCACCACCCCAACCACCACCCCCCCTGCAGACCTTGGCCTCAGAGAATTTGAGTTATTTGCTGCATTCTGTAATCTCTGTCCACACATTTAATTCTCCTTTTTATTAGATTCTCCTCCAATGATTCAATTTGAGATTTCCATCTGTTTCTAGCCAGAGCATTGAATGATACGGTGTGTTTACTCTTCTTCTTTGTGTAAATCCAGTGTGTGGCAAAAGGTGTTGAAACTTAATCTTTGATTACCAAAAGCTGAAAAATGTACTACAAAGCTGCTTTATTAATTCATGGCTTCTTTTGAGTAGAAACAGCTGCTCTAATTTGCAGCTGAGTCTCTCTCGAGGTCAGTTTACCCACAGCTTGCCAGGACTCAAGGTGTCGTTCAGACATTGTTATTGTTTGGGTTAAGCATTTTACACCCACACATGCAACAGCCATCCTCTACAATATGTGAACTAGAACAAGGACAGATTTTCTTATTACTGAAAAATTAAGTACATTTTATTGTGTGTCTGTCCCTCATCAAGCAGATGGTCTTCTCAACTCACTTTCTTACTCTATAAGCCTACTGTCACATGAAAATATTGGACT